AATAATATGAAATAACGTGGTTTATCAGTGCGTCGCGCATATCAGTGCCTCGCACACTTTTTCACTATTTTGCAACTCTTCAATTCAACACGCGTTTAATCAACAATCAACAATGAATAACACTTCAAAAGAAGCTCGGATTATCTTAGCTATTGAAACTATTAATAAATAAATAAAAAATGAATCACCAGAATGCTGCTAAACTCTACAATATCCCTGAAACAATACTTCAGAATCGAATGAATAGTTTAACTCTACTACAAGAATATTGATCATTAACTCAAAAATTAACTAAATTAGAAAAAGAAATAATTCTTCAATATATCCTTGATATGGATACACAAGGATTTGCTCCTCGATTGAGTGGTGTGGAAGATATAGCGAATAATATTCTCGATACTTGTGAAACATACTATATTGAAAAGCTTTAGATATATCGATTTATATAATACTGGCCAGAATTAAAGATGCGTTTTAATCGTGTTTATGATTTCCAAAGAGCTCTTTACAAAGATCCAAAGCTTATTGAAGGGTGGTTTCAATTAGTATCGAATATGCAGGCGAAATACAGTATTCTCGATTGCGATTTCTATAATTTCGATGAAACAGGCTTTATGATGGGTATTATATACCCTGGGATGGTTGTAACTAATACTAAACAACATAACAGAAACAAAGCAATACAATCAGGTAATCGAGAATGAACTATAACAATTGTATATATCAATGGTATAGAAGAAAGTATTCCTCTATTTTTAATGATTAAAGGCAAAAATCACCTTTCGAGTTGGTATACTGAGAATGATCTCTTATTTGATTAGGTGATTAAAGTCACTAATAATAAATGGATGAACAATGAGACAGGTTTAGAGTGGATTAAACATTTCAATAAATATATTATTGCTCGAAAACAAAGTAATTATCGAATGTTAGTATTAGATGGACACGAAAGTTATAAATCGATTGTATTTCAAGAATATTGCAAAGAATACAATATTATAACTTTTTCATTACTTCCTTATTTTTTGTATATTACTCAATTACTTGATATTAAATATTTTAATGTTTTAAAACGAATATATAGCTAACAAATTGAGGGGTATATTAAGGCTTATATTAATTATATCACTAAGGTCGAATTCCTTATAGCCTTTAAAGTAGCATACTTACAATCAATAATTGTTCAAAATGGATTATCTGGATTCCGCAGAGCTGGATTAATACCCTTTGATCCTTAAGCTGTTATTTCTAAACTAAATATTAAATTACGAATACCTATATCTACCAGATCTTCCTCTGTAAAGCTTAATCCTTAGATTTCTCAAACATTTCATAACTCGAACAATATTCTTTCACAATTAACCTTAATTAAAAATCGAATTGTACAATATCAAAAAAACTTTTCTACACCTATATTTGAAATAGTTATAATTTTAGTTAAAGGTACAGAGATATTAGTTTATAAGATGATACTTATGAATGCTGAGATTTGTATTTTTCGAAAAGCAAATGAGATATTGAATAAATGTCATAGAGTTAAAAAGAATCGAATTTATTAAGGAGGAACACTTAGTATACAAGATAGATATAATATTATATTATAGACTGATGTAGATAATCAGATTTGATGCGATGAATGCTTTAAGAGGGATAGTTCAAATAGGGAACAATCAACTTTATATTGTTGTGGTTCTTGTGGTAAAACTGGTTATAATATACGAACTTGTTAGGAGGATTTAGAAGACTCTAATTTATCAGATTTTGAATAGTTTCAATTAATTTTATATGTTGTGATTATTGAATAATATTTTGAAATGATTGAGTAGTGAAAAAGTGTGCGAGGCACTGATATGCGCGACGCACTGATAAACCACGTTATAGTATTTTCGAATAATTACGCCGACTTTAAGCGTGTGCCTCTTCTAAAATTTATTATAAAAATACTAATAAAAGATTAATTAAATATTATATATAATTAAATAAATTAATAATAATTTAAAGAAAACTAGAAGATAAATAATAATTAAAAAAAAAACAGGAAGACAGAGGGCGGAAGGGTGCCGGGAGGCGCAGCGCTCCTGGTACTTGAGTATAATTATACGATGTATAACCTATCCATCTTATCTATCAATCCATCAATCCTCAAACTCAAGACTCCAAACTCAAGAATATCGATCAAGTTTAAATACCCATCTGTGACGGAACAGACGGCTCTCTTCCGCCCACTGGCTCATACTACATACATAGTATGATATGACGGCTCTTTTGGACCTTCCTTTCACAGCTTAGAGCCCTAGCTCTATAGCTCTAGACCTAGGCATCTTACGCCTAGGACTATTTCACCCTTTTTGGCCTAGCCCTTATGGCTCCCAATACCTGTATATATAGTCCTCCTTTTAGCATCCTACATAGCTCTTCACTTGTAGATTCTAAGTACACAATCGGAGTCCTGTTTATACCCTTTTGGTCACACCATCCCACATCCCATATTCACACCCCTCCTCCTGCCCCTCCCCTCAAATCCCAAATCCCAAATCCCAAATCACTTTTCCCAGGAATTCTACATCTACATCTATTCAAATACATCTACATTTACATCTACTCAAGTACATCTAGCTAGCTAGCAAGCGAACTAGTATTCATTATCTAGATACCTCTCTCTCTCTATCCTCTATCCCTATCTTTTCATTTCCATTACCATTTCCATTTCCATTTCAATTTCCATTTCCATCCATATCCACACTCACATTCACAACCATACTCACACTCCCACTCCCTCCCAATCACAAGACAATCACAATCCAAAAGACTACCTACCTATTACCTACCTATTTATACTCATACTCATACTCATACAACATCCCGATATCCATGAGCTTATCATCCAATATACATCAAATTAAAATAAAAAATTAAACTAACATTTTGATATAATGATTCCACATTATAACTATAACTATAACTATAACTATAACGAGTACTCGATTAATTACCAAGTACAAACAAGTACTTATGGATAAGTAGAGTAGAGTAGAGTAGAGTAGTGTAGTATAATATATCCACCCATCTACTCCCCATCCCCCCTCCAATCCATCTACCCATCCGTCAATCCCTCCATACACCCCCCACTCCTCCATTCCAACCACACAACTACATACATCTCAACAAATCTCTCATCTCTCATCTCACTCCCCCATTCCAATCCAATTCAATCCACCCCAACCCAACCCAACCCAAACGAAATCTGTAAACTCATCTTTTCTTGTCCTGTTTTGCATTACTTGTCTTGCATGATATCACATCACATCATGTCGTGCCATAAAATAAAGCTCCAACAGAACATAACATAACATCCAACACTCTCCCAAAACGCCATTGCAATGCCAAGAAGGAACCACCATCTACCATCCATCTATTTGAACTCGGTGCCTGCCACCTCCTAAAGAAAATTCTAACTGTAAAATAAAATAAAATAAAAACTCCCAAGAGGTATGGTATCTATGCGTAACGCTCATCACATCCATCTGCAAGCATTGAAGGCGTTTCAAAAAGAAAAAAAAAGTCCTTGCCTGCCTCTCATCAAACACCTCATTTTGTTTTAAAGATCCAGCATGAGACCTCCAGCATGAGACCTCCAGCATCAATCAACTCCCATTACTTCCTACCCAAACTCTGCAAGTTGACCAACTCAGAATATCTACCTCCCTTATGTATAAGCTCCGAGTGGGTGCCACTCTCCACGATTCTACCTTGATCGAACACATATATACAATCCGCCTTTTGGATTGTACTCAATCTATGCGCTACTGCAATTGTCGTTCTTCCCTTTGCTGCTTTATCCAGAGCTGCTTGAACTACGTGTTCACTCTCGGAATCTAATGCACTAGTTGCCTCATCCAACAAAAGAATTTTAGGATCGCGGAGGAGGGCACGAGCGATGGCAATTCTTTGTTTCTGACCACCAGACAACATGCTTCCCTTTGAACCGACGATTGTAGAAAATCCCTCGGGGAGCGACATAATGAAATCGTAGATGTTAGCTTCGCGACATGCGAATTCGATTTCGGAATCAGGTACATCCTCTCGATCGGCTCCGAGGAGCATGTTCTCACGGATGGTACCTTGGTAGAGGGTTGGTTCTTGGGATACGAGGGCGATATGTGAGCGGTAATCGCTGATGTTCAAAGAAGAGATCTCTTTACCATCGACGTAGATACCACCAACGAGGGGGTCGTAGAAACGTTCGAGAAGAGCAATGGTAGTAGATTTACCACAACCGGATGCACCAACTAGAGCAATATATTGACCAGGCTTGACTTGGAGGTTGAGACCACGGAGGACTGGCTGTTCTGGACGAGTGGGGTAGCGGAAATGAACATCACGGAATTCGACATATCCTTCCATCGACTCCATACGTTCTCCATCCTCAGACCAAGAGTCGATGGCGGGTTTGCGATCAAAGAGAATCTTGAGTTCCTGGGCGGCTTGTTTGGCTTTACCCATGTCCGCTATGATCTGTTAGCTTAAACGTTTGAATAATTGATTGAAGGGAATACTTACGTGCGAAGGAAAAGATAGTTCCGGCAGATTGAGCACCGAAAATGACAGCCGAGAAGCAAACGAAGAATTGGAACATGGTATATTCCTTGCTGGCAATACGCTGACCACCATACCAGAATCCAAGTGCGACACAGAGGAACATCAAAGATTGAGATGCGGCATAAAGCAAGGAAGACTTCAGGATCGATTTCAAACTCCTTTCTTCTTGGGCCTTGAGGGATATTATATACTTGGCGAGGACATCCTCTTCTCTAGTCAAGGATGCAACTGTTCGGATAGCACCTGTAGCTTCGCAGGCATAACTGGCACTCTTTTCATAAGCCTTCTTCGCTCTTTGTTGAAATCTTGCAAGAAGCCAGAATCGGAAGAAACCACAGCCAAGTAAGACTGGAATAGTGGCGATGCAGACGAGAGCCAACTTCCAAGCAATAGCAAGAGAGAGAGCACATGCTGCGATGAGCGTAGTGATGACTGTCAAAAGCGTACCCAGAGTGACCCCAGATAAACCGGCAACGTGAGTAGTTTCGGTGCTCAAGAAGGATGTGAGAGCACCAGCAGTGTGATCCTCCATGTCAAAGTATTGAATGTCCTGACGAAGCATCGTACGGAAAGCACGGTCACGAACCCGATGGATGAGCCTTTCTGAACAGAACGCAAAGGCAACACCTTGAGCACAGAATGCAAGAAATTGAACGATTGCCAACATAAGGTACATCAAAGACCAGAAATCGACATCGGTTCTAATCGTATGGTAATTGGCAGGAACGGCAGGAAGGGAGAGCGAGATAATTTCCTTAGCGAAGAACACGGCTTGAGTTGGATTACCTCCACCACAAATGATGGAAAAGAACAGCCCCACCAACATGAGTTTCCATTCGGTAGTGTTGAATGAAGCAATCAACTTGATCAATGTCCATAATGAATCATGCTGTTCAGATGAGGATGTCTTGTTCTGAAGTACGAGCGACGACTGCGATTTTTCTGTTGCTGTGCGATTTAATTTGTTGGCAATATTCTTATCATCCGGATCCTCATTATATTCGATTCCTCCAACCTTGTTAGACATTTTTCGTACAAGTTCATCGTCCTTGGCGTCAACCTCTGTCTCTTCAGCGGCGGTCATTTCCTTGATTTCAGCAATCTTTTGTGCTTCAATCAATCTATAGTAAGCACCTTGTTGAGCAAGCAAATCATTGTGAGTTCCTTGTTCCACGATGCGACCTTCAGTCATGACAACAATGTTGTCCGCATCCTTGATGGTGGAAAGTCGATGAGCAATGGTAATGGTAGTTCGTCCTTCAGCAGCAACCTCAAGAGCGGCTTGTACGACACCCTCGGATTTTGTGTCAAGAGCAGAAGTAGCTTCATCGAGTAGAAGGATCTTTGGATCGCTGACCACAGCTCTTGCAATTGCGATACGTTGCTTTTGACCACCGGAAAGTAAACTGGCTCTTTCACCAACGTTGGTTTCGTAGCCTTCAGGCAAAGCAGATACAAAGTCATGTGCATTGGCCATCTTTGAAGCTTCGATAACCAATTCTCTCTGGCGTTCTTCTTTTTCGTTCTCGAACTTGGTTCCAATGAGTCCATGTCGAATATTTTCAAATATAGTAGTTCCAAACAATGTAGGCTCTTGGCTGACCAAGGAGATTTGTTGTCGCAGCCATCGCAAATTCAATGTACCAATATCGTGCCCATCAAGGAAAACCTGGCCGCCAACTGGATCGTAAAATCTTTCCACCAACCCAACTATGGTACTTTTTCCAGATCCAGATGCACCAACGAGAGCCGTCATTTTGCCGGCTGGGATAATTAAACTGACATCGTTCATGATTGTAACTTCCGGTCTGGATGGATAGATGTGCTTGATATTTCTGAGTTCGACTGTTCCCTCGACGTGATCGAGCTTGATACCCTCAGTAGAGGTTGGATCCAAGGGTGAAACACGATCAATTGTGTTGAAAATCTTCGCGGCGGCGGAAATAGCAGTGGTAAAGGCCTGGGCGTTGGGTGCAACATTTCCGAATGCAAAAGCTCCGATCATGATAGACATCAGGATTGTGAGAATATGAGAGAGAGAGATCGATCCGTCGACAAGGAATCTGGAACCCATCCAGAATGCTAGACCATAATTAAGATAGATGATCAAAAACATGCCTCCTACCATGATAGCTAATGTGAATTTGGTTCTGAAACCATATTTCTCTGCATCAGCAAGATGTTTGTCATATTGACGGGCAAGTTTGTCTTGAGTACCAAAAGCAGTGGCATTCCTGATTGATGAGATGACTTCCTCTGCGATCGATCCTCCAATAGCATAAGATCCAAGGGACTGTTTGCTGTACTTGACAATCCATCTGGAACCTCCTCCCATGATGACGGTAATGGCCGCAACGGTAGAAGTGAGAATCAGAGTCAATTTCCAGGACTTGATGAAACCAATTACAAAAGCCGTGAAGAAAGTAGCTAGTGCATTGATTGTCAAGCCTACCTTTTCGGAAATACCATCTTGAACCAAATTGGTATCAGCTGTGATTCTAGTAGTGATTTCACCTGATCCTAGCTTATCGTAGAAACCAATATTCATGCGCAAGCACGCAGCCAAGTATTGCGCTCTAATCTTTCCACTGATGTGTTCTCCGACATAGATGAATCCAACTGTAGAGATGTATATGGTAATGAATTCGGCGATCGCAAGATAGATGAAGTAGAGAACCATATGATTAATGGTATGATCAAAATCCGCTTTTGAAGTCGATCCTGCGAAGTAATCTGCAAAGGTTCCAGCCAATTGACCAAAAATAACCGTCATCAAAGGTAATGCAGCTCCCGCCGCAATGCTGCAGATGGCACTGACTACCATAATGAGGATATCGTTTGTGGTGGAAAAACGATACAGGTTTCCAACTCCTGACGACAATTCTGGCAATTCCACTTGTCGTTTTAATATTTCGGCCTCATGCGGAGGTAGATGTGCGTAAATATCCTCATCTTTACTGTTTGCCACCTTTACAATATTCGAGTCTAATTTCGACAAATCCTTATTCCCTACAGATACCTTCGTTGCCCCCCCTTCGATCTTTTGTTTTTGCGAAGAATCTCGTTCAGATAGAGATGATCCTCCATTGCTTGATGGACGACTCCTCGAGTCCGGTGTCTCGGTCTTCTCTGATAGTTCGCCAGCCATAATTGGCGGCTTTGGGGAGATTTGAGGTTTCGTAGAAGTGGCCAATATCTGCAGACGATTCGATGTAAGCTTTGTTTAATATCCTGATATATCTTATTGTACTGTATGCAATCTCAATACTTCAATTGCGGCGAATCCACCTTTAAGACTGTCAATAAGGAAGTGTAAAGTAAACGGCGGTCGAGTCGAAGCCTTCGAGTACCGTACCGGTATTAAATCGTAGGATTTTGATAGAGTTATTAGGTAATTAGAAAGGTAAATAAAGTTGTAAAAAGGGAGTATTATAAATAAAGTCAAGATCAAAAAGAGGAAAGGAGTTTTAAAGAGGAAGATGGGATTTGTAAATATATATAAAAGTAATTACCAGTATTTTCTTATTTACCTTGCTTGATGTCTACCTAGGTAGGTATGTATTGGTAACCCTTTCATAACTTCAAACGGGAAGCTCTGATCCCGAGGTGCGGGTTTACGGGGGGGGGGTCGCGGATTATTGGAATGACCGATTGATGACTAGTCCGATGACTAGTTCGTTATCAGCTTACTACCAGTGAGCTTAGGTAGATCAATGATAATATAGATGTTATCAATTGAAGAAAGATGGCTTGTATTGTTTAAAAATCAACACCGGTGACCTTTAAAACGCCACCATTTTGTTCCAATCCATTGAGGGGTATTGATATTTCAATCAAGGTTCTTCGGATTGAAAGTTTGGGCTAGGCTAGTCAATCTGAAGAAGGGTACGAAATGAAGTAAGATACGATTATATCCAGGTTGATGTCCATTTGGATATTCAGTAAACCCTAGGTAAGTACTTATGCTATTGGTGGCTTTTAAGTATCATCCTCCGTAACCTTAAGTATCAAAGCCACAAATTCCTATCATCTCTATTCTCCAATCTTTTTATCTAACAATTGAACCTTCACCGTTCCCATTCCCGTTTCCTCCATCTCCTATTTCTTCATTGGGGATTTCCTTCCTTGAAAACTTCCCGTGTCAACGCAATCCATTCCTCAAAGGGCCTTTATTGTGACTGACAAACGTGCAGATTTCCCTTCCCACGCAATCGGTATGACTCAAAACTGTACCCTGAATAAGACACAATACTTCTAATTGGACAGCTCGTTAGTCCTTTCATGTCATCATGTCATACTAACTTTAACCTCGCATTCCTATACAGCAATAGCAACACAGCAACAAACCGATAAACTTGAGTCAATACTGTAGGTTGTCATATCGAATTTATCCCATCCTTTACATGGTACGCAAAATGTCACTTATTCAACCATTCAAGCGCTATCTTTATAATCTCAGGCCCAACAACTAACCCATAGCTGTCCATGTTTCATCTCACAGTCGATCTTGGTACTGAATTGTCAAATCGCCATACAGTACTATTCAGCTCGAGAAATCCAATATCCCAGCCCAATACCGGTATCTATCTACCTGTTGAACTATACTGCACTAACCTCATAGCGAGCTTCCTTTCCAGAACATCTACAGTAGATACTCGAGGCAAAAGCCCTTGTCTCAACCACCTACCCAACCCCACTGTGTAAATTATATCTATCTAGCTACCTAATAGGTACCAAGATAGACATCGGGAACGGACAACAACAAAGTCCAACTTGGCATTCGGGAATCAATGCGATTGGTAAATAATCCCTTACGAGTTACGAACCTTTTGTTTGGTATGTGGGGGCAACGGACTTTGCGTTTTTGGCCCACCGAAACGAGCCTCTTGGTGAAGTTATGCAAAAAGTTATTATGTGGAGTGGAATTGAAAGGATGGATGGGTGGGATGATGTGGACTTGTTAATAGGAGCGGTCAATTCCTTCTAGAAGCTTTTTGAAATGGGATGACTGGATGATCTCCCCTATTTTTTGTAACTATAACCACCTCTTGCGATTGAAAACTGTAACGAGATGCTATGCTGGTGCTGATCATCTAGATGTTTTTCAATCTGGGCTGAATGAGATTTGAGATTTGAGATTTGAGATCCCCTGGACCTCGATAGGATAGGATAGGATAGTCTTCAAGGAGAAATCGAAGGGATAAGACATTTCTTACTCCGTACATATAGCATATCTCATCTAGCCTACTATCTAGACCCATCTTCGATTTCAGAACAACACAGCAATTACTGAATGAATGTTTATAACCATCCCAGAGATTTTCGATGGATAGATAATTTGTTAATATCGGGTATAGTATTCAACTCGGGTCTAAAAGATTACAGATCAGAAACTTCGATTGAGTCTTCTTATCTGGAGTCATTCGGTGTATATGATATGATATACGAGTAGTACAACACCCTGGAGAGATAGCCTGTCCATAGTCCTCTCATCAAGTATGAAGGAATTCAGCCAAGTCACCACCCTATCTATTGTCCTTGAACTGTCATCTAGGAATACTAGATTTGAGCTCGAATATTAAAGTACTTGTGATCCCAGCATATTTCTATTGTTACAATTCAGTCTCTCATACTATCGAGAATAACAGTAATATACTTCTAATAAAAAAAACAATTAGAAGACTTGGCCAAAGAACTTGAGAGTGAAGCTATTTCAGTTCTGTGAATAACAAAGTGAGATCAAGATCACTTAAGATCGATTATCTGAATATATGGACCACTATATACTTTTGTGCAGTATTGATAGGAACAATAAAGTATATATCTTCTTATTATAACCAAGTCAATATCTTAACAAACATCTTAACCAGTGAACAGCCACTGGCCAGTAGTTTGATAATGGCTATCATGGTAGTCACATAATATAGGCTTTATTACCTCAGCAACAGTCCCACCTTATTTCTCGGCTAACCTTCCAATCAACAAAAGCTTGATCTTAGAATCACTGACCGCCCCAGGCAATACAATATGGAATCTCAAGGTGGTCGAGATGGTGCTTCCTCACCAAAATCAAATAAATCATTGCTCTCAAACCCACAACCTCCAATCTTCGCGCCATTCTTTGCGCCATTTTTCTTTGTCGGAGGCACTCGAGGTACATTACCAACTCCTCCTAGCTTTGCCCACCCAGATCTCAAAAGATTTCGGGAATTCGAGGATTTCGAACCCATGAAAATGGCGGGCGGAAAGAAATCTGGAAGGACGTTGATGCGAGAAGAAGGTCTGGAGCGAACAGACAATGGATTGAAGCAAACAAGCTGGCCGGAAGCCACCCCAATCAATCAGAAAAACTATTACACGTATGTAATTTGTTCTTTTGGAGCTTCCTTCATACCTCACATGCGTTTCTTATGACCTTTACCGGTTTCATGATCTATAACTTTCACTGACTTACAATTTATAGAGAGTTCGGAAAGCGCGACGATCAATTGCTTGCATCACGTCTACAGAACGAATCCAATCAAGAGAAGCTCATCCGCGATGCCAAAAATAAAGACAGAGCTCTTGCGCGCACCGGAAATGCTGACGTACCGCTACCCATGGACGAGGACGAATCCGAAGATACAGATGTTACAGATGAATTGGCCGCCTCAAAGGTTATCGTCATCCATCCCGGAAGTCAAAATTTGCGCATTGGTTTGGCCAGCGATGCTCTCCCAAAGACGGTCATAATGGCCATCGCAGAAAAATTCCCCATCACAGAATCTCAAGAATACGAGCCTCGACCAAAGCGCCAGAACACCGAACTTCCACCAGAGCAGCAATTTGGAGATGAGTGGTCGAAGAAATATACCAAACAATGTGCCGAACTGAAAGTAGACATGCGTTCAAATAGGCGCAAAGTATTACCCAATTCGAAAGAGTTGGTTGTGAATTACAATCGCCGTGTGGAACCAGAAAAGATCCCAGAACACAATGATCCGCTTCGCGTCGAATGGACGGATATTTCCAAAGGCTCAACAACAACTTTTACGGGTCCCGATGCACAGCGCATAGCAGACAATTCTCAGCCGCCGTATAGACTATTCTGGCCTATGCAACATGGTTGGCTCCATGAGAATGACTACAACGTTTGCGAAGCTATGTTCGACGATTTCGAAACAATCATTGAGAAGGCCATGAGAAGAGACCTTGGTCTTAACAGAAGCAGTGAATGGGATCAATACAGCTGCATAATGGTGGTACCGGATCTCTACGACAAAAAGTATCTGGAGCAAATGCTGGATATGTGTCTCAGGGGTTTTGGGTTCAAACAGGTCGCATTTATGCAGGAGAGTCATGCCGCTACATTTGGAGCTGGTTATACCAGTGCTTGTGTAGTCGATGTTGGAGCACAAAAGACATCAATTTGCTGTGTTGAGGATGGCATGTGCATTGAGGATTCTCGAGTCAACCTCAAGTATGGAGGGTATGATGTCACTGAAACTTTCATCAAAATGATGCTCTATGATCATTTTCCATATGCCGACATCAATCTAAAACGACGTTACGACTTCCTTCTAGCGGAGGAGCTAAAGATCAAATACTGTACAATGAACCAGGCTGAGATCTCTGTCCAGCTTTACAATTTCCACCTTCGCGCACCAAATCAACCGACTCACAAGTATGGATTCAAGACATATGATGAGGTTATTCTTGCTCCTATGGGCTTCTATGATCCTTCAATCTTTGATAACAGTGATAAATTGAAGGGTCGTCGCAAACACTTGGATCGATCATACAATGCTTATGACGTCGACAGTCCCGATGACCCCACATCTGCAGCTCAGCTTGCAATCCTGGCCGCTATCAAACCTTCTATCGCAACCAACGCAAATGGATACAATCCCAACAGCTTCGTTTATAATGGGATGGCCGATGCTTCTTTCTCTACACCTCAAAAAGAGAAGCCCAACCCGTTCAACCTCCTACGTATGGATGTAGACAACCCAGTACATTCTAGCGTGACTTCTGCCGCTGTTTCGCCAGCCCCGGAAGGTGCGAGCACTCCTGCCCCTGCTCCGTTCGTCTTCGGAGGTAATGGAACTACAGCCGGATCTCCTGGCCCCACGAACGGTATCAATGGCACACACAGTGGTAACACACCAAATCCCCCGGCGGGTATGTTTATTGATATTCACGCCCGCACCGCCAAAGATATGGCCATCGAACGTGACTCTGTCCTACCAATCTCTGCTCTAGACACCGCAATCATAACATCCATTACTCACGCTGCCAAGCATGATGACAAGAAAGCGCGTGACTTTTATGGTGGTATCATGGTAATCGGCGGAGGTGCAAAGACCCCTGGATTTGGACCATTCCTTGAAGATAGGCTCAAGAAGAAGAGACCAGATTTAGCAGAAAAGATCTTGGTGGGAACTAGTCCGAGGGAAATGGATGGTCAAGTGGTGGTTTGGAAAGGAGCAAGTGTCTTTGCTAGAATGAAGATGCATGAAAGCTGGATTGGACAGAGGGAATTCGAGATGTTAGGCGCGAGGGTATTGAGTCAAAAGATTCTTTGGCATTACTAAGCTTTAATTTTCTCAACTTTATGGGGTGTTTCATGGATTTAATTGGCTAGCCAGATTGCATGGATTGGAAGGGAAGGCATGGAACGATCTCTTGAATTATGATAAATTTAATGGATGGATGATATAAATGGCGTTACTAAGGCGAACGAGAGCGAGTAGCTATCTAGGCGTTCATAGGGGGGAAATCTATTGAGAATCGATTGAGAATCAAATGGATGGATCATGGGAGTTTTTTTTTTGAGAGAAAGATATCCTGGAAAAGCAACATTTACGAGGTAAATATTGATGGCATATGAAGGAATGGAATGGAAAGGGAAGGGAAGGTGGGAACTCAAAATTCGTACTTGTATGTATGTAGTTGGCTTGGCTTGACTTGACTTGGCTTGACTTGGTCTGGTCACTGGATGAGATTAGGGACGAGTTTAGTAGTTAGCTAGCTACCTAGCTGTCTTGGACACTGGATAGATTGATAGTTTTTTATACTGGTAGATAATACTGGTAGATAATACTAGTAGATACTAGTAGATAGGTTGATGATGAGAGAGCAATATCAGAGAATTTTGAAATTTCTTTTTGGTTGGGTTTACTGATTACAGGTTATTTTTGGGCTGTTGTGGGGGAGGGGATTGAAATTTTGGGTGAGTTTGCTGGATGAGTTTGCTGGATGAGTTTGGTAGATGAGTTTGGTGGATGAGTTTGCTGGGTAGGTAAGGAGGTGAGAGGTGAGAGGTGAGAGATTAGCTGGGTGGCTGGGCGGCTGGCTGGGTTGCACGCTTGGTATAATGAATTGGAGAGGTTTTAATAGGGTTATGTTGTGTCGTTGTTTGTATAGTTTTTTTATCTGAATGGGTTAGTTGGGGAATTTATTGATGGATAGGGATGTTTGTTACTTTATTTGTATATTCTGGTTTTGGTGTATAAGTCTGTACTCGAGTATATATGTACTATTACTTATTGAGAGTTCAATGGTATTTGTTTGTATTTGTTTGTTATGCGGGTTATGCTTTTTATGCTCGATATATTCATTACACCCATCGTGCGTGTCATGCTTTTGAGGGAATATGGAATATGGTATGGTTTGGGGGGTTGGGATTAGGATTGGTTTTTCGTCACGGTATGGTGAAAAAGAAAATTCTTGGGATAATATGGTGTGGAGTATAGTGTGTGGAGGGTGGAGGATGGAGGATGGAGGATGGAGGATGGAGGATGGAGGGAGGTGTATGTTGGGTTGATGTGGACTGGGCTGATTTGATTGAGAAGGGAGGAAGGGGGAAGGGAGGCAGCAGGAGAGAGCGAGAGGGAGAGGGGAGAGGGGGATATAAAGATGTGTTTATAACATCGTATCGGATATTGGATTGGTAATGATTGATAGGGGGAGGGGGGGAAGGGTTGTAGATGAGGATGTGCATGTGTTATTATTTGATTTCAATATTATATTGAGTATATATATACTCGTAGATATGTAGTGAAGTTGGTCTGGTTTAGTTTGGTTTGGTTTATATTCATTTATAGTTATAGTTATAGTTATAGGAGTAGTGGGAATAGTGAGAATAGTTGAAGTGGTTGGAGTAGGATTGCATTTTTTTTTGAGAGATATATTTGTGATTGAGAAGGTGATTCAAAATCTGGTCTGCAACTTCATCTACAACATCAATGATCCTAAATCGGAATCAAAATCAAAATCAAATACCGAAGTTCGGTGTTAGGTGTAGAGCTTATTTCAAATCGTACAGTATTCTGGATTTATCTTTTGATATTGGTAATGGTAATGGTTTGCTCGTGATTTTTGGTTGCGAGAGCATCTAGTGATGAGATGAAATAAAATGGGATAAAATGAGATTACGGATGGATCAGGAAGTTCTGGAAGATATAATATTGGGAATGTGAGGAGCGAGGAGCGAGGAGCGAGATTGAAGGTTTTGGATGTGAGGAAGGAGCTGTATTGCGTTATTTAGTTTGGGTGGTTAAAAAGGTGTGTAGATAGATATGAGGACTGATGACTGGATTTGTTGTGAGGCGTGAGGGGGTGGAGGGGGTAAGGTATATTGTTTAATATTGGGGCTGGTGAGTGAAATGAGCTCTTTCATTTTGTGCGAGTTGATATTTGACGGTGATTCATGCTGTATTTTCTGTGTTTTTCTGTGTTTTTGATAATGAAGGAAGGTTTCGTTTCTCGTTTTGTTCTGAGATGGGGTGTGATAAGATCTTCTTGCATATATATTTACGCACTCCCCAATGTAAGATATATTCACTCGAGGATATGGCGCATAAGATTACATACATGGTGCGTGGGTTTCACGGAGCAAGTGATTAGAGAAAAGAATGTTTAGTACTTGAGATGGGTATTTATTGCATGATTAATTGGTGTGACACAGGAGACTATCAAAATTCTGCGGAGTATCACTCACTCTGGCTTGAAGATAGGGAAGAGGGTGGTGGTCAATAAGGCCTAGGGGACTGAGTAGATGTGAGAAGTAATTTATATGATGCGGTAATCTTCTTTCATTTCTTTTATTTCCCTATGTGACTGTGTACTAAATAATCATACAATCACAGAGCTTTAGATTTCTAACGTCTAACGTCAAGATTTTGATGAACGGCAAGGGACGAACGCAAGACAATTGGATAGCTCTTTTTGCAGTTGTAGATAGAAGTTTTGAGATTGTGGGATTCAGAGTGCCGAGTGGTTCTCTGATGGCAGTAATTGAAGTTGTTTGGAGTGGGAAGTTTTGTGATGAGGTGTAATCATCTAGCATCCTAGATTCCTAGTATTATATGATGGGTCCCTACCTTGTACGTACTGCCCCTAGTTCCTGAGCTCAACTACTAGTATACGTCATTTAATGAAACTTTAATAATGTATTTTGCAAGACTTGATTGATCCGCATGTATCAGTGTTGTCGATTTAAGCTTTCGCTTGGTTCGATTTCCAGGGGCTAGCCTGAGTGTTAATGGAAACAGACTAGGCCGGCCCACACCGCTGTCAAATCGGAAGCTAAAATAAGGCTTATAGGGATACTAGTAGTAACGTCATACTAGACAGTAGCTTCCCACTAGAAAGAATAGGTCCATCATTCCAAACTTTTGTTGCATATCTTGTGAGAAGGGGGTGGTAGTCTCGTTTAGGGGGGGGTGGTTTATGGTTTCACACTTTCACACGCCTTGAAATTTATCTGGTAGTTTACCAATTAGTAGTGGTAGTATAAATATAGAGACTTCGGTGTTGCGCATGTGCTGTATTTGCTTGTATAGTTAATTGAAATCTTGGAAAAGTATATATACATCACACGATGGGTTGACGTATATGTATGTCTGCTTGAAAATTATGCTTTCTAGGCTGAGGTTATAACTGCTGCCCTGTTTGCTGTCAAACTTTATACGAAGCTATTCCTCAACACGTTAAAGTAATACGCTGAAGCAGTTCAGATCTAAAGCACTGGGCACAATTCGAAACTTGATTTATCTACCGCTTTTACTTCTTTCTCGCGTGGATGCGAAGATCGGTTGGATACAACATGACTTGATCTGAAGAACACTAGAATATACTAGTTAATGGCCGTTGTATTATGCTTATACACTGCCTTGTTCTTTACGGTCAAGATCAGCTCTTAATTTGAAGGGTAGCTTACTGATCCGATTTATGATTGACATTTGGATTGTATCAGTGAACTTCTTTTGCTGAAAACTGTTGATGTGTTTGTTATATGGGCTTGGTATTGAAATTGCAGGTACAAAGAAAGGGAAGCGAGTCACAAAGTCGGAGGTCAAATTTAGTATATGAAACTGTTGAATTGTCAAATTTTGCAAGAGGAACAGTGAAGTGTGTATGAAGAGATGGCTAAGCGGGGTGAGCTAATATAAATACCGGTATATTCAGAGCTACTTGATACGATTAACCCAATATCTATCTAGTCTATAAACTTGAAGTCCCCTTCGAAGAATTAAGTTACTATCATCCAAACATATCATCCAAATATATCATCTGAACTTATCATTTGATAACTTAGTTGCTAGGGGATATTTTAGTGGTTGCTACGTAATCAAGTAACCTAGGAAACCTTCACTACCGTTCCTTCCTCTCTAATGCTTCGATGATATCATTATTCATCAACCAACCAACCAATTAACCAACCAGAAGACCAGATTATTTTAGTCTTGTTTACGTTATCTAAGTTCCCATAGTCACTGTCGCCTTCTTCCCTTTCTTCCTTTCCTTTCCTTTCCTCTTCTCTTCTTTTTTCTTCAGCATACGCACTTTTGATTATTTTGATTCTTCAAATTTCAAAAATTACTGCTTACTGCTTACTCTTACTACTCTTACTTCTTTCATCTTTGAGCTACCAACTCATTGATACAAAACTTCTTACAACGCTCTTACTTTATTACAAGCTTTTTATCTAAGTCGGCGTACCGATTCTTTTTCAAACTTCAATCAGTACAATGTCTTTCTACGATTTCCTCCAAGTCATTGGTAGCGCCCTCGTGGTTGCTATCTGTGTACTCATGATGAGAAGTCCAATCGACTTCGAGGTAGCACCTGCCAGCCAACTCATCCAGGTCGCTCCTCCTTCACCAGTGACCCAGTCACTTTCTGAACCTCAAGCAGCCCAACTAGTCGCTTCTCCTTCCCCCAGGAAGATGAGCAGAGTTGAAGAGCTTATCGGTTCAGTCCAGGTTACTCCTACCTGCCCACAAAGAGATAGAAAGCCCTCTCCTAGAATAGTTTTCGCCCCTGCTCAACTTGAGCGAAGATCAATGATCAAAAGTCCTTCAATTCAATCAATCAAGGCCGATGTTCATTCCTCTTCTGTTGCTGGCGCGCAACAAATTATAACCACCACATCCACCGTCACAACCACGATGGATATTGAAATGACAGACGTTGCGTCGGCATATGCCGAAATCTCTGAAGTCATTTCAGTTGAAGTCGAGATGGTGGATGCTCCTGCTCCTCAGCTGAAGTCTTGCATGAAATCAAGCTTCGCTTCTCGGTCTGCGAAAAGTGTTAGTTTTGCAGGACCAAGCAGCGATTGCATTCGCGGAAAGATCGCCACTCATGTGGTCTCTGAAGCATTTGTATATCCCAGTGGGTGGTCTCCTGGGGCACTTCAAAGCCCTCATGAGACATTTCCCATTATTGAGGAAAAAGACCAAGAAGGCAATCCTACCGGATGGTTTTACAAACAGGATAGTATCTACTACCCACCAAAGATTGAAGGTCACGCATTGCCATTGTCCTTCTGCAGAGAGTGTCACGAGCATATCTCTCATGGATTTTTAAATCCCATCGTTGACTATACCGACGCGGTACTTGCAGATATAAAAGGCGTACGTGACTTTGTCATTTTGGACCAAGCAATGAGATACAATTGCGGAGATCATGGTGGATTCTGATGCATTGCATCTCTTTCTACTAACTACTAACCTGTGACCTGACCCTAACCCTCCCTGGAACCTCCGGACTCAGGTAAGAGAACATTTTCTTTTTTTTCAACCAAAAATAGATGTGCTTTTATCAGCCATCGCCAAAAAAACCAATAAAATAAAGGCCTTGTTGGAATGGATTTTCAGATTGGTAACCTGTTATTCATCCTTCAAGGTATCACAAAACAATCACCAAAAAAGCGAACATCGCATTTTGTACATATTTCTTTCCTCTGTCATTATTTGGGAGGCCGGCGAGCCATTTGCGATGGCGTTTTCTTTTTTTGTTTTTCTTTTTCTATTCTCTTTTACTTTTGCTCGTTAATGGTTTACAGATTAGAGACATACAAGCGGTGGTCGCTGGACCCCGTTCACATATTCAAAAGTTTTGGTCAGTTTTGAAATCTCCCCCCTTTGACTTGAGATTTATGCTAACTGAACCACTTTACATGATTCCCAAACATACGTCTTCGAACAACACGCGGATCGACATACCACCATCATATTCCAGGAAGGGTTCAGGTCACAGGTTAGATTCATATTACATATCGGAGTTCATACGAGACTGTGCAGCGCGTTATGGAAGTCAACACAGCTCTCTCAATTCTCAACTCTTTAAGAACTTTATCATCACATCACTTCTTTATTTCGATATACATCACACTCCGTCGGTCAAGATCGAATGCGCCCTCTGCTGCTCTCGAGACGACAAGCAGAGTTTCTTTCTTGACTCGACATTCGACTCACATCACTTCACCAACTCATTATCACATAAGGCTGGGTAACTCGCGATAAGTTACGCCCAGATCTTTCAAACATTATCAATGAGTTGAATCCGACTTCTTTATCCACTTCGAATTGCACTAAATCGAATCTTTTCAAACTACATCCTAGCTGCGCTCGATACGACTAGCAGGATATTCGATGCAATATCGATGGATCTTATACTGTTCTCGTCCAGTTACTCGACGAGATTATTTGAGGGGAATTTTGGCTTTGGTAGACGAACTTGGTACTTGGGATACGCTGCCGGAGCAATGTTCCTTGGCCTTGGTGTCGTGGGTTCTAGTAGCTTTTCACTTCTTTGGGAGGTGTCTTGGCGATATCTCCTTGGTTTTGGTTGGCTTTGTTGGTTGACAGTCTCATTGGAAGCTCACTCGATGGGGCTTCATGAGAGCTTGTGGAGGGGAAGCTCGTGACTTCATGGATGGTATCATTTTGTACCTGAAGAGCTGAGTGATCAGATCGGAACCTTAAATACTCGACCTTCGACTATAGAGTATTCGATGACAATTCTTCGAGGAGCGTTCGTACGCTTGGAGGAACCGATGATTGTTAGTATTTGCTCTTTGTTATTGCTTGGTTGGATATATCGCTAACTCTTTTATAGACGACGCCATCTTGGAAGAGCTTGGATTGGCATTGAAAGATACCTTATGGAAGTGGGACTTGGGCCTAAGTAGTAGGAAAAGTGATTATTTGCGGCATGGAATGTGGTGGATCTTGATGATGCTGAGGCGATGTGTTGTATATTGGATAATTTGATGGATACATATGGAACGGAGAGAATATCTACATGAGATCTAGAACCAAGGATGATTCATCATATAAACACGCAATCGACTTAAAGTTATCCTTTCAAATCTTGTATTCTAAAGCTTTGCCATCTATCACACCATCTACTGTGGCAGCTTATTCTAATTTCTCTTGTACAAGAATCCTTTCACGGTAGTCTTAACAATCTGGATTGCAGTCCAACAATGAACTACTCTTGAAGGTTTAAAGACTTGTAACAATTCAAACCTACTAACAATTGATAGCCTCAACCCATCAATCAAAATCGACACTTATAAGCTTCTTCCAGATGCAATTACCTTTTATGATCTAGTACCCCTTAGAGAACCAAAATAAAAGAGCCTTGTCTACTGTAGAAAAGTCTAGATACACTGCCATATTCCATTTCATCCTCTCCTTTCAATCGAAAGGGGGTAATAAAGTCATACCCCCTCATTACTTAGAATACGCATGTGTGTTTTATGCTAATATATCTCTATCTAAAAATGTATTTGTAAACTCGATTTAGTTGTTCCAATGATCGACTCAGTGATATACCTAGCTTTAGGGAGAAAAAAGGGAAATAAGGGAAATAGGGAGAAGAGGACGAAGAAGAAGATGGAAGAAGAGGATAGAGTAGAGATAGAGAGAAGAGAATGGAAGGAGAGGATAGAAGAAGAGGATAGAAGAAGTGATAGAGAGAAGAGATAAAGAGAAGGGAGGTTAAATAGCAGAGAGATTACAGAGAGATTGCAGAGAGAGTAGAGATTAACATGGTTATATAAAGAAACTGGTTAGGTTAACTACCTAGGTAGATGGAGCGATGGTTTTGTTATATACTCGAGTATTAGAATCTATTCCTGGCCTGTCATGCCACATAACATGGGATATAACATTGCATCAAACGATATTACATTACATGCGGTAAAAGAAAAGTGTGCACTGGCATTCATAATTCACGATTTGAATATATTTGTTTGTGAATACTCCTTGGAGTTGAAGAGTTTTATGTGACAGATCTGATGTTGGAGTGAGTGTATGGAATCTCTTTAGTTCACACCATTTCTCTCTTACCATGTAGCTATCATATCAGCAATCAAAGTATCTTCGCCAAGATCTCTTCTCGGGTGAAGTTTGTGTTCAAATATCTTGAGACGTAGTCATCGCGATTAACTGTATGGTATCAGCATCTCGAGAAATGAAGGGGAAATGGAGGAAGACCTACTATATCCACCACATATACGTCTCTTACCCGTAAATTCGGTTCTTCCGTGGAGGATTCTCCAGTTATCGAAAACTGTTGCCCAAGAATTAGTCACTGAAGATGCCAATGGATAATATCCAAAAAAAACTCACTTAAAGCCCGTCCTGGCACAAGCTGCGACTGATACTGCCCCATTGGATCATTAACTCTATTAGAAAACTCCCTTGCCGCCTCATACCACTCCTCCGAATACCCTGGATGGATGGTGCCCCTGTCCGCTTCATTCCATCTAATCTGCGTAGCCTTACGATTCGAATCCATGGTCATCACAGGATATGGCCTATTAGGAGTAATATTGATTCCTTCATTACCACTAGCATGCCAAGGGACAGCTATTTTTGATAGAGCATCTTTGTAGCGATTACGAATTAATCGGGCAGACCAGAAACCGTCGACGAGGATGGATTCGCCACCGGTGCCTTCGGTGTGGGAAAGAAGATGGAACATTTGGAGACCGGCGGGATCGGTGAAGTAAGTTGTATCGGTGTGGGGGCCAATGGCTTCACTGGTGTAGGCTGTGTCTTTCATTGTCAGGTCGGATGTGAAGTCGTAGAAACCACCTAGAGACGTTTAGTTGAAAAGACGACTAATCCTATTAAAATGAATAAATTTTACCGTAATGAGTGGGGCGAATAAAGGCGATGCGTTCGAGGAGCTCTTGAGTTTTCAGAGGACATATCGGAACTCCATCTACGAAACAGAAGCCAAACTTGTGCTAAGCGAAATCAGTAAATTATTATGCATAAGCTGGGAGTAAGTAATGAAAACTTACAATCATGCGTGTCCATTTCCCTACACCGCTGTCGCTCGCCATGACTTCATCGTATTTGACAGTAGGAGGGATCTGTTCGATACGCGAATCCCAAAGGACAATATCATGGTCACTGTAAAAAGGTTCAGCATATTGCCGAATCTGTCGGTTGCTATATGTTTACTCTGGATTGGGAATATGAGGAATTACATCCGCAGATCTTTCTACTCCCTGCAGCCCATTAACAAACGCATGTCTGGTCATTTCAAACTTGTTTCTGTCGCGATAAACCTTATGTTTATGGAGCCAATCCCATGGGTAAACAGTGACATGTTCTGACTTGGGGCCACGACCTTTGCTATCCAGCCCTGTATGAAATTAGCGATGAAGATAATTGCAGGGCGATGTGCATACATGTGACTTCCAGTCCCTCCTTTTTGATCTTGTTTATAGATTTTGGGATTTCCTCGAGGTCGGACTTATACTTTGTTAGGAACTAACCTAATCAAATGATCGAGACACTTACGGAGAATATGTTTACTTCCCGCTGCATAGTATCAGAACGCCTGCATTTGGGACAATGACAATTGTCTCTAAGATGTGATCAGTGAAGTGCTCAAGTGGTCTAGGAGACACAAGAGCTTCTGTAATATCTTACCTCAACCATCGACGTGGACTATGAAATCGTTATTAGCCTTTGGACCACGAACAACAACTGGTGCACTTACACCGAATCTGGCCCATCAGCGAAATTGATTGGTATGAACGCGTCATTATCAAGCACACGATAATTTTCTCGATAGCCTTCGCCCAATTTGGGATGAACGATCTTCTCTCCCAGAACAGCAGCCGAGTTTATCAAATGCTCATTTGCTTTCTGCTGCGCCGTCTGTACATCATTGAGGAGAGGCCGTATGAAATCTGGAGTCCGGGCATTCTTTCGTGTAATTACAGGTGGGCCATGAGTGGTATTAAGGAAGAATTGACCCTTCATACGTTTGTATGAGGGGTACGAATCTTGAAGCATATTCAGACGTACAAAATCGGTACCAGTCTGTTGGCGTTTGCTAAAAGCCTCTGACTGGGTTATCTCAGGCTTACTGCTGGAATAGCGACGAGAAGCCACACGACTGACTCGTTGGAGTCGAAGAATGGAGCAATTCATGATGAGAAAGTAATTGCTTGTTGTATTGACATTACAAATTGACGAAATATATACAGATGTGAATTTCTTTGAGATTTTTGTCCTGTGATATTTTCTTGGATGAATTCCAGTGCCTCGGCTCGGATTTCTGCTTGATATTTGATGTTTGATGTTTGATGTTTTATTTTTAATGTTTTATGTTTAGTATGAATGTGTATCCAGATGGGACGGGCGAGTAGTCACTCTGATGAGTAGTATTAATCACCTTTTCGTATTTCATAAAGTGTACGTACTCATATTTTCGATCAGATATTGTTTTCCTCAAAGACGAAATCCGAAATCCTCACTCATGCTGAGAAGACGCAGCCAATCGGCGGAACAAAGCTTTTCCGATAATCCCTGAACCAAGCTTCCACTCCTCACAAATACCTTCTTCCTATCAACAATGTGACAATTCCAACCATGAACCATAAATAACCACTTTCGCTCAGCATCATCATGTCCACCGAAGACGCCCGCTATCGCACTTCTACCCAATATCGTCACTGGTCCTATACATCCTCTGCACTTCGCTCCTTGCGCGAAAGCACAAATGCCCTAGCCATAACACAAGTTCGAGATGCCGTTCGACGCGCCCGAGAAGCCCGCGCTGCTTCCTCAAATGATAGCAGTGAAGCTGAGCAAAGCAGGTCGGCTAGTACTGCCTTGCCAGAGGGAGAGATTGATTGTTTGACGGTGGATGAGGAATTAAAGTTGATGGACTATTATTGTAGGCAGACACTACAATTGGGGGATCATTTGGGTGTACCGATTGAGGTCAAGGTATGTTCTTCACACTCAGAGATCATCTGATTCTGTTGGGCGGGTCAATTCCCTCGATAGAACGCCGTGGATGCCTTTAGTATTGCAATATGCGCAATTTGTCTTCGTCCAAAACACATACTAACTTATCTTTCCACTATAGGCCACAGCAGTCCAATACATCCGCCGGTTCTACACAAGTCACAGTCTAATGACATACTCCCCCACCACCATCCTAAAAACCGCCCTCTTCTTCTCCACCAAAACCGAAAATCACTATTTCCGCATCACCCGCTTCGCCAGCGACATCGGGAAAACCACCACGGAAGAAATCCTCTCCTCTGAATTTCTGCTTACCCAAGGAATCCGCTTTACATTCGATGTGCGACATCCCTACCGAGCCCTCGAAGGAGCTATCATGGAACTTCTCTCCATCGCCACCCACAAGATCCCCGTTCCCGCCGAGCTCGAATCCCAACGACCGACTAACATGCATAAATTAGTATTAGCAAGTCATGCAAACGCCAGACGATATCTCAAAACAAGCGCTCTACTATGCGATTCCTATTTCCACTACACGCCCTCACAAATCATGTTCGCTTCCCTTTATCTCGCTTCCGGGCCCCTAACAACATTCTACCTCGCTCTTAAATCCTACAACCCCTCGAATCCAGATACAAACACCGCAGCCCCAACCCACCAAAAACTCCTCAATCTCATCAAAACCCTTGCTCAAATCCTCTCCGCAATTCCCGAAGAACAAACTCCTCTACAGCGCCAAGAAATTCAGGCACTCGTCAAGAAATTAAAGAAATGTAGAAACCCCGAGAAAGCAGATCTAGTCGGGTTACAAAGAATGAAGCGAGAGGGGGTGGAGGGCAAAGATGGGGGACAGGAAGATGAGAAAATCATCAAGAAGAGGAAGATGGAGCGGGAGCAGAGGGTAAAGGAGGAGCAGGATCTATTTGGAGGGAGTCTGAGATGATGATCTTGGGTTGGGTAGTATACTATAATGGCTTGGGTTTATATTAAAAGTCTAGCGGGATTGGCGTTTTACAGACTAGGAACATATGTGGATGGGCATCTGGGGGCGTTTACATATGATTTGATATGGTAATATCACTCTTCATTAGGTCTTATTTTAGATGTATCATGCTAAGATCAAGAGCAGGATCAGAGTAATATTGAAAAGAACATTTTCATTCATTCATCCTGTTAAACTATCTGTTCTTGCTGTCCATTTCCATCCTGGATTGCTTCAGTCATGTCTGTCCCATCCGCTTCGATAGAAGCGTCTGTATCTGACATTGTTGTGTATGTAAAAGTAAGTAATATCCCACCCTCCATCCATCTCATAAAAAAAAAAAAAAAGGAAAAGAAAAAGAATAATAAATAATAATGATGCTTTGTAGAAGAAACAATAAAGAAATCCTGTGCCAGCGCTTGCTTGCATTGGAGTTGTCCAAATTCCATAGTAGATTGAAGTTACCGGTCTACACAAGTAACTTCCTACCATCGGAATTCTCCTGCAGTGCCAAGCAATCCCCATCATATCATTCCTAATGTCCCGAGCACGAATTTCAATGACTTCCCTCCATCCTCAATTGCAATGTCAATTCTCATCATCAACAATCCGAGTAATCGCAACCCACGGCAACTCATACTCTCCAACCTTAGTGCAAGTAAGGTATTCGACCGCGCCATCGCCATTCTTGCTGACATCACCCGTCAACTCATTGATCATCAGCTCTTTGACTGTCTTCGCAGCATATCCCTTCATAATATTCATCTCCTTCTCAACCTGGCTCTTCTCCCAATTGCCCCACGCTCTAGCCTCCAGAGTTGCCTTGTATGGCTCCACCATCGCCATTACATCGTCGATCTTAAGATAAGCTTCTCCGCCTTGCGCCATCAGGCTATACATATTTAGCTCTACGCTTCTCTGTTCGTCGCGTCGAACATGCGCACAATGGCGCAGCTGTTGCGAGAACCAATCGTGCCAGATTTGTACAATGATCCATATGTCAAAAGTGGTCGGGTCCAAATTATTGATGCTGATTCGAATGCCGTGGTGAGCGAGACAGCTTTGGAAAAGTAAGTCGTTGGCCTGCATTCTTTTCAGCTGCAGCTCGTAGATTTTACGGTCAATGATGTCGCCAAGTGCAGACTCAACCCATTCTTTGGCAGTAGGCCATGGCCACGACGGTGCTTGTCCTACAATATGAATTAGGGCTTCCTTGAAGATAAGAGCATTTTGTAGCTTAGACGCAAGCACGAGAAAGCGAGGAGCGTCGCGCCGAATCGATGTGTATAAGTGCCGGCCATGGGAGAATAGAGAGGCGATAATGTGGGGTCGCACTAGTTTTGCGGAGCCGTAGAGAGTAGCTATCTTGACTAATCGAGATGACTGTTTGGTCGCAGTAGACAGATCAGTCGTGGAAATGGTGGGAGCGAAGCTGCGGTAACAGAGGAAGAGCGAGTGATATGCTTCGAGGATATCGGGATGCACGAGTAGAGCTTGTTGATTTGCTGGCTTTTGGTGAGGTGTATTGTTGCTGGGTTCTGCGGTGGTAGATGCCACTGTCTTTGTAATAATATGATTATGATTATCAGAAGAAGGTACTTCGATAATGGGATTGAGCTTGGCTTGCGGTTCTTCTTCAACCGGCAACTTTGCGTGGGTAGGTACCTCGACATCGACATGTTCTTTCGGCATGATTTGAGTACCCAAAGATATTTGTGGAGAGAGTACTGCTGCTTGTTGTGGTTGTGGTTCTTCGACGGTCAAGTTTGCCTCGGCAGAAATCTCAACTTGACTTCCAGATCCAGACGAAACTTCAACATTAGAAGGTATTTGTGGAAACAAACTTGTTGCTTGCTGTGGCTCCTCAACTTGACTTCCAGACGAAACTTCGGCACTAGAAGGTGTCTGAGGAAATAAGCCTGTTGCTTGCTGTGGCTCCTCAAATTGACTTGCAGACGAAACTTCAACACTAGAAGGTGTTTGTGGAAACAAACTTATAGTTTGCTGTGGCTCCTCAAATTTGACTTCCGGTTCTGTGGGGTTTTCCGTGGAGATATCAATCTGAAGTTGTTCCTCGAGCGAAACTTGGCGATTTGGAGATAAACGATCTTGGTGAATTTCTGGTAGATGTAGTTCATCAAATTTGATCTCTGCATTGTCAAGATTGTCAAGATTCTCAAGTTGTCTTTCTGCCGACTGTAGTGCAATTGGAACGATCGGTGAAAACATTTGTTCCTCGGGTCCGACCTCTGCTTTGATAGGAGTCGCAAGTGGTGTGGTGTTCTGTTCTTCAAGAGTCGTCTGGGAGTTGGTGCTAACCTGATCATCTTGAATAGTTGGGTGGGTTGTGTCAGTTCCTGCTTCTGACTTGATGGGACTGGAAGGTAGTGTAGCGACTTGCTCCGTCGCAGTTCTCTGCATTGGCGGATCAAGCTCGGCGCTATCTAATTGAATCGACGTATCCTCTTCTGACTTGATGCTACTTTCCTCTCCTTGGCAACCGTTGCTGAGGTTCTGAAGAAGTGGTTGCAGACTTCCTATCAATGGCGTGGAACCTGCGACATTAATATGAGGACCTGAGTCAAAGCTACCAACCCTGTTTTCCGATTCAACCTCGTCAAATGAACCATCGTATTGTGGAATAGTTACTGATGAATGATGACCGTGAGTAGCACCATTACGGAGGAATGATTGCCCATTAGATCCAAGTGTGGAGGAAGTCCTGGTAACGATCCCTTGAGGCTGCTCCACTGGCTTGTACATTGTGAGTCCCTATAGATATTAGCCCGATCCCTTCAGATTCCGAATTGGTAGAAAGAAATAAAGAAAGATCACCTACCACACGCATCAATGTGTAGTGTTTGAGTTGAGCAGAATATCTGAGTTCGAATCTATATTTGATGCCAGTGTCGCGAGTAGCGATTTCTGCTACTGTTTGATCCACCTCATTGATAAAGTCTTTTTGTAGTTCACTTCGAAACCACGATGATGCATGCATCAACATTTGCGAGTGAATCCGGTAGATATGCTTGAGATCATTTTGACAGAGTACGATGTATACATCGGCATCTTCATCTGCGAAAGGCGAGAACAGCTTTTTGGGTCTTTGGATGGGGCAGACGATGACTTCTGGAGAGAAGCTTATTTCTGATTCTTGCCTAGATTCTGCAGGTCTTTCTTCTTGTTTAGCAGCCCGGGATCTTGCAGTTGATTTGTGTGGATCTATTCAGAAGTCAGCAATTGAATGTTGTAGCTATACCTAGCGTCTGCATGGTATTTCCAACTTAGAAACTGAATTACGGGAGCATTTTACATACTTGGACGAGACTTTTTGGGGGTATGGAGTGGCTCATCTTCAGAACCTATTTCGATGGGATCTGTCTCAATCGAAGGTTGAGGCTTGATTGATCTCTTTTTACTGTTGACAGGTCGAGCCTTGAACGCATCGTTATTGGCATCGCCAACGTACTTGACCTCCTCACCTCGCTGATATTGTGGACGTTGACCTTTTGGAGGCATGATTGTGGAGTATGAACAATGATATTGATAAGTTGAAGGATGTATATAATAAAGAAGATGGATTGGAAAGCAAAAAGATAAACGCAATAGAATAGGTGGAAGAAGTCGAGATAGATCGACGAAGATATTGGAGTGTCGAGGTTGAAGTTGAGACGTTGTAAAAGAACAGAAGTGGGAAAGTAGTAGATGGAATAGTCAGCTGTTCGATCAATAAAAATAGTGAATATAGACGACGCAGAAATGTGAGGGGTATTTTTGCCCTTGAAGGTGAGTTGATATTGAGCTATATCGAAGTATCGATTTTGAAATATGGTAGCGAAGTAGTAGTATTGACAGCAACTGAGGTTGCGGATCTAAACTAAAGTGTCGTGGGATATTCTGAAGAAGCTCCTGTTTTGTAAACAGATTTCAATTTCAAAATATGGCAGTGAGGCAGCAATATCGACAGCAAAGAAGAAAGTGGATCAAGTCTTGACTGTCGTAGGATAGGTATTCTGAAAAGACCTCTGTCCTATAGACAGATTATCCGTGACGTCTATTATAGATTAATCGTCTTGCAAATGCCAATACCAAAGTAGAGAATGGAGAAAGATAAGATATTAGAGATTGAGGACTTGTAAAAGTAAGCCAAGACTCTGTGGTTTAATAAAAGTGAGATGGTATATTCATGGAAAGGTGTGGTGTCTGAGCTAAAATTGGTTCAAGTGAATATGACGAGCGAGATTTGTATTGTATCCAATGATGAGCTCAGTGAGTATCTACGAAGAGATACCTAATTAGATAGTTTGGTTAACGACTATTATGTATTATGCGGGTAATTGAAAGTTGTGGAAATGGTGAACTTAATTGATGAAATACTATATGAGTATGTGTATTGCATTAGATGGTCCAAATTATAACATTCACGTCTTTCCTTCCTAGATTCGGCTCGATTCATCTCAGTTCAAAAAGGAGGTAGGTAGGTCCTAGGTGGCTATATATGATAGGAAAATGTTAAGGTTATCAACAATCGAGAAGTAAACCACCGTTAAAGGCAATAGCAAACACCATATCAAATGGTAACGAGAGAAAAAATATAAACGATAGGTAGATGTAGATATTTAATGATTAGCATCTCATCTCATCTCATCTCATCTCATATCTGGGTATGGATATTCGCCAATCGATATACGAGTAGATGGCGTTAGACTCCGTAAGTTAAGTTGATTCTTTTGTATTCCGAATGAATACTCGTACTCGTATAGGGCAAACTTGTATCAGAGTAGAGTATCAATTGAAACGTTCCATCAGAATTTAAGTATTGCTTAGAATCTTCCTTCATACCTACCCAGAATAATCATACACCGTATGAACCTCAATCATCACACATTCCAATCCCCAAGAACAGCTCTATTCCGCAACCGCAACCGCAACCTCAACCTCAACCTCAACCCCCAACAACCTCTCCGCATTCTCAAACGCAAAGCCCCTCATCTCACTTGAGTCCGCCCCCCCAAACAACCCACTCTCCACCACACTCTTCACAAAATCTTCTCCCCCATTCTCCGCAAACGGATAATCCACACTAAAAAGAATTTTATCCCTCCCCTTCCCCTGCATCAAACACGCCAACGGCGCCAACGAAAACATGCCACTAGTCGTAACCCACAAATTCTCCTCCCACACGCTCTTTAACTCCATTTCCCTCCCCCATCTCCCCGCCACCTTCAAAATCCTCTCCAAATTAAATGGTAACAGTTCTCCCATATGTCCCAACAAAATCTTGAGTTTTGGGAACCGGTCAAAGAGTCCCGCAGCATATAGACGTAGAAAATGAAGCCCGGTGTCGAAATGCCATCCTAACCCCCAATTACCCAGCCCGATCGCGATATCCTCTGGGTAATTCCCCCGATATTTATCCATATCTTTCTCAGACGTGAAGTTGGGTGTATGTAAATGGGCACATCTAATTCACACGCTTTCTCAAAAACACTCCAGAATTTCTCATCGTCGTAGAATTCTCCTTCAAGATGATTGTCAATTAACGCACCGACGAAACCGAGTGAGTTAATACATCGATCTAATTCGAGAGCGGCTTCTAGGGGGGATCCCATGGGAAGAATGGCGAATCCCTTGAGACGAGAGGGGTTTTGGGATATAGCAGCCGCGAGTTCATCGTTGATTTGGCGACATAGTTGGGGAGAAGCGTGGTCCATGGGACCATGAGAAAGGATTTGTAGAGAGATTCATATCCTTGATGCGTTCATCACCAAGAGATTTTAGTTTCCGTAGTATCGGAGTCGAAATTTTGCAAATGGATCTGGGGCCCCGGTTGCTTGCTGAGCGGCCAGAACCGCGGAGGAGAGATAGTGTTCCTCGAGGGTGATGAGTGGTAACATTTTGAATGTTTTTTGGATGTTGGGTTTAACTGTTGGGAGGAATTGAAACATTGTTTGTATTGTATGTCAATATGAGGGCATTGATTGAAGATACTCGAGTACATACTGTAGATATATACAAAGGGGAGGGATCAATGACGTTCAACTAGCTTCGGATTTACTCCTTCACTCATGAATTATCTCCGGACCACCGTCGGGGAGATTTGCGAACTCCGTAGGGTCGGAAAAAGCAAACTACCGATGAACTCAACGCAAGTTATATTTGTGGGTATCATCTACGGATGGAGACGGGCTGACAGATTCGTAAAATATCTTGACCCAAAACGGAAAGCTGGAAATCACCCGCCTATAATACTATAGTCTTTCCACTCTTAGCACTTTCCCTTGCTGCCTCAATAATTCTCAAAACATCTCTAGCCTCACTTGCTTTAACTGGAACAGCATCTTCGTTGCCATTAGCTACAGCATTAGCGAACCCCTGATAGAGAGCAGCATAAGTCTGCGGAGTCACGTTCTTGACTGTGCTACCCTTAGGTTTGCCGTCCTCAAATACCACTAATCTTCCGGACCTATCCTCTGATTCAACACCAAAGTTAGCATTACCAGGTCTGAGCCCAGCCTTCAATTGGTCCTCTTGAACATCGAGATGGTACTTCTTAAAACTGCCTTGGGAACCTCGAACCCAGAACCGTAATTGCTCTTCTTCCACACACATAACCTATACAGATTAATCATTAATACATGTTGAGAAACGAGCTGTGACGAGTAATGATTAATAGATGCTTACCCCAGCCTTTGCGGTCACTAATGGTCCCTTCTCACCATAACCTAGCATAACCGTCATACTATCCGGTTCTGCTGAACCATCGGCCCTTTGATTTGCAAAGATTGCTGTTACTGTCTTCGGCAGCCCAAATAAGCAGAATGCCTGATCAATCAAATGTGTTCCAAGATCATATACAACACCGCCGGCATCCTCCATGGTCAAGGTGCCCTTCCAAGTTGCAGGTTTGTCGCCCTTATATCTATCAAAATGTGTCTCGAATTCGACTACCCTTCCCAACACACCACTACCGATCAATTTCTTGACAGTCAAGAAATCCGAATCCCATCTCCTGTTCTGATACACGCAAATGAGTTTTCCAGTCTCTTTGGATATGGAAATAAGCTCCGAAGCTTCTGCAGATGTAGGTACGAATGGTTTCTCAACCAAAACATGTTTACCAGCTTGTAAAGCGGCCTTCGTGAAAGGGAAATGTGTCTCAGGCGTTGTGGTTATGACAATGATGTCAATTGCGGGATCTGCAAACATAGCATCTGCGGAATTGTAGATTTTGGCTTCGGGATGATCTTTGGAGGCATCGTCGTTGGGCTTGGGAGTTCGCTGAACGATTGAGTGGAGAGTGAATGATGGAGTAACGAGGACGAGGGGGATATGGAAGACTTTGGCAGACATGCTGCGGGTTTGAGTTAGATCATATTCAACAGATCTTGAGGAAGAATGCATACCTACCCATAGCCAATCACTCCAATGTTATATTTCTTATCTGCCATTTTGTATTGGATTATAACCTTACTGTGAAGATTGTGTGGTTTCCCAAAGAAAGGGATGTTCAATGGTATGATTTAAAAGAACAATTACTCGAGTATAATATAATATAACATTACACCCCCCCTCAACCCCTCATGCCAAAGAGAGATCATTACACCGTAGTTATCCCGGCGGAGCTTCCTAATCTGTGAACACCGATATCTGATGATGATTTTGATTAACGTGG